GGCAGGCTTCAGACAGTCTATAGACCGCGGTTCAAACCCCAGCTCTGCCACTTACCAGCCTTAGAAAGTCCACTCTTTCATTCTTTTACTTATTCCTTTTTCATTGTTATATTTTTATGGGAAAAGAGAAATGGACAGTGAACAAGTAGACAAACAAATGAGAAAATTTCAGATTGGGGTAAATGCTATGCCCAAAATAAACTAGGAAATATCATAGGGAATAACTTGGGGATGGGAAAAGCAGTTACAGACTGGGTGGTCAGGGAAGTTCCTTTCTAAGAGGACACATTTGACTGGGACAATAGAATGGGAACCGGGCTTGACGTAGGATAGATGGGGGCAGGGCATCACAGGCAGAGGGGACTGCAAGTGCAATGGCCCTGGTGAAGGAAAGGCCTTGGGACTCAGGGGACAGAGAGAAGGCCGGTGTGATGATGGGGACTGTGTGACTATGTGATCATGGGCAGAGTGAAGGGAGATGAAGTCGGTGAAGGAGGCGGGGACCAGATCGTGCATGGCCTCATAAGCCACAGGAGGGAATGGAGCTTTATTCTAAAGACAATAGAACAGTTTCATGCCGGAGACTGGCCTGATCCTATTTCTGTTTCAAGACGATGATTCTGGTGGCTGCATGAGAGCATAGAGAGGGCAAGGTGGAAGCAGAAAAACCAGATAGAAAGATACGAAGCAGTTTAGGTGGCTGGGGATACACAAGTGGGCATATTCGAGATGTATTTTTGAGGTATAACTGTTAAGGATTTTGTCTGGAATTTGAGGGACAGTGGCAATGCGACAGCAAGAATAGGACTATTTTAACTTTTCGAAACTTCAGTTTCTTCAACTGTAAACTTATAAACATGCAGCATAGTGATTATAGTTAACGACACTGTACTGTGTATTTGAAAGTTGCTCAGGGAGTAGATCTTAAAAGTGCTAATCACAAGAAACAAAATTTGTAACTGTGTGAGGTGACAGATGTTAAGTAAACATTGCGGTGATCATTTCACAGTATATACATATTCCAAATCATTATGTTGTACATCTCAAACTAATATAGTGTTATATGTCAATTATACCTCAATTAAGGAAAGAAACTAAGATTGCAAAGACATGTCAGTAGTAGAGTGGAGATTTGAAGCCAGAGAGACTCCTGTGTCATTATCCCTAATCGCTGTGCTATCCTGTCTCCAAGACGACGCAGGAGAGGCCTAGGAGGCCCAGGGCACCCTAACCTATTCTGGGCAGTGAGCCAGAGGAGGGGTCTCTGTGGAAGGGACGTTCAAGCCGTGACTGAATTAACAAGAGTCTAGGCAGAGGAGATGTGTGCAAGGGCTCAAAGTAGGAGAGGGCAGCATGTTCCAGGAACTGAGTGCAATGGGATTAGAATGCAAGGAGAAGTGGCCAAGCTGGGGAGGGGATCGTGTCAGAGCATGAGAACCTTTTCCCTCAGAGCAACGGGAAGCCAGGGGGTCACTGCACGGGAGGCTTCCTCATCATCACTCTGCCTCTTGGGCAGAGCTCAGATCGGAGGTGGCAGGCGTGGACTGCAGGTGGGGCTGGCTCTTAATTTCCATTTTCAGAATCAGCTTAGAGAGCAACAGTTCTCATCTGAGAATTGCATGCACCTCTGGGGCCATTTGGAAATGTGTGGAAATAATTTGGGTTGTTGCTGTCACGGCAGATGTCAAAACCCCAATGGTGTGAGGCATGGCCCCCCACAAAGGCAGAACTGTCCTCTTCTAAATGCCAAGGGGGCCCACACTGGGAAATCCTACCATTGGCAAGGCACTGAAGGCTTCACTGGAGGAATATAAATGTTTTAAGCCATGACCGTGTAAAAGCAATTGTATAGCTGAGAGAATTGAGAGGTGAAGCGGGCAAGCAAGGTGAGGGGAAATAGAGGGGTGAAAATGCACTCACTGTACATAGTGGGATGTCAAGGGACACTACCTAAAGTTTATGGAACCAAAAATAGATGGTTAGGTGTATTAAAGTTACAAAGGGAACTAAGAGAAAAGTTAAAAATATAACTAAAAATTGTGAGGAGGAGACAAAAGGAGACAAAAACAAAAGGAGATAGCGTAAATAAGCTAAATTTCTTATCTTTCATAGCAGGGAGTCAGCAGATACTGCTAAGGTTAATGAAGCAAGAAATGAGGTGGAAATAGAATATTTACAATTATAGAGGAAGGCATCAGAAAATCAGGAAAAACCCTTTAGAAAAAGAAGTAGAACTGGAGTTTGAGTTCAGGGGTGGTTAAGGGAAACTCTGGCTTTTCATCTTGTCCCTTCTCTGAGATACTGTTTGTATGTTTGTTTCCACCTGTACGTGTTACATTAAGTCAGTGAACTTTAGTTTCTCGCCTTACTCAATGCTGCCTCTATGGATGTCAAATGGTTCTCTCACTCTCTGAGCTGGTTCTGTTTAGAAGGGACCCGCCAAAAACTACTGGCCCCCTTCAGATACGTGTCCAGAGTTTCCTGGCATTGAACTGTACCTACCGTCTCCTCACCTGCGCTGGGGCCAAATCCCTGTATAGGCTATAAGAACTTCTCTGCCCCCACTGGGTCTAGATCCAGTTTTCCTGAAGTGGCTGGGGAGGGTCTCTGTGGTCGCTGGGAGGGCTGGAAGTCAGCCAAAGAAGAAAGGGCAAATTCTCTGGGGCACCCTTATTTGCTGGGGGGCTTGCTCCCATTCCATGGAAGTCAGGTAAGAGCAGAGACTCACTCTGATGAGCAGGCAGATTACTAACACCCATGTTTTGTGAGTAGCAGATGGGGGGAGGGTTGGAGGCAGGGAGGGAGGGCTAAGCGTTGGGGAGAAGGGAGGAGCCGGGTGAGGCATGAGGCTAGAATCCAGCATGGCCTGAACATTAACCCTCCGAACTCCAGCTCAGCTGGGCCTCTATTAATCACTATTTTTTATATGTCCAATTGGTAGAACTACTCCTCTATTTTTCTATATAGCCCTTCTGTGAGACAGTGAGATTGTACTGTTGGTAGTTATTTTATGTATCTGTATCTTAATGTTCTATCATCTGTGATCTCATTCTCAGAAGTAGGATCTGAGCCTCATTCATCTTTACATGCCCTGCACTGAGCATATACCTAATAAATAATGGTTGAATTAAGGAATAAATAAATGAATGAATAAAGCCAAATAAATGAATGAAATGTTTATTCTCCTTTTTTAAAACGTTAGCAACGGAGGGTGTGGAGTACAACAAAAATTCTCTTATTTTCTGGTGCATACCTGATTATGTGGGTCTGGTGCATGTTTGCTCTGTGTGTGTGTGTGTGTGTGTGTGTGTGTGTGTGTGTGTGTGTTGCCATAACTACTTGAGAGAGTTAAATAATTGGTAATGGGGAAAGAATGTAAGCCTTTGGGATCCCTAAGAGGTGCAGGGAAGGACTAAGAGATCAAAGAGGAAATGCAAAAATGCTGCAAGTGTGAGATGATGACATTTATAGAAAGATAGTCTCATTCAGGAAATGTTTGGAACTGGCTAGGAAATAGGCTTAAAAAACACAAGCCTAGGCTAAGAGTTGGAACTTGGCACCAGAAACATCAATTTGTTTCCTCTGTTTCTCAGGGGGATGAGCCAAAGAGCTCAGTTTAGTCAGGTGACCAAAATATGATGGGATCAAGAAGAGGATACCTACAGCAACCTATTTAGTCAGCATGAAAACAATACCATCAGTGCTTATAAGATTGTGATAAAACTTGTGTGCTTATATTCTGCTACAGGTATCATAAATTGGTTTGACCCTTTTAGAAATCAGTAAGTCAAGGAGGCTGCCATGTCATTATAATCATAATTCCTTCTTGCCTAGCAATGAAAAAGAACTTTGTAAATATTTTCAAAGATCTTTGATTAATCATTGTAAAGATTTAATCATGCTTTGGTGGGTATTCCAATGAACTAAGAGTAACCAAGCAACATGATGATGGGAATGGTGTACAAAATTTCTTTAACAGGAAGTTATAGACAAAGCTGTGGTTCTGTCCAGATGGTTATAGCTAAGAGAAGTTTGGGCCATTAATGTTTATGAAGAAGGTTCTACAGCTCTGCTAGGCATGTATCTTCCCCTGGGGAGCCAGGACTTTGGGTAATTCCTAGTTAATGAACATGATCAACTGACCCATCCATTCTTCAGTGATATCTATTGAGCTCCCATTGTGTGACACATCTGTTTGTAGGAAGGGACCTTCTTTTAGCTTCTCTTTTGCACAGAGGGTACATGAGAGAGATCTTCTGACCAACTGACAGATGAAACAAAATGGATTTTCCCATTCTAATTTCATCTGGGTTAGTTGACAGAATTTATTGCACCTGTAAAGCTTAAGTTTAAGTTTATGAGTTGTAAAATTCAGGTCATCACAGTTTTCTTTTGTATTTTCCCGGCGATAAAGATCTCTGTTTTCTTATTGCTATCAGATACTCTGTTGATGCTTCCATTATTTAAATTCTCTCTGTCTGGGTTGGCTCTCATATTTTACTGAGTTTCCCCATCCTGTGTTCAGCTAGAGGTTTAGGTTGTTGACCTTAAAGCCTCAATGTAGAACCAGGCTCATGATTTCACATTTTGAAAGTACCAGCATTCGTGTGTGTGTGTGTGTGTGTGTGCGCGCGCATGTGCGTGTACGTGTGTATGTGTGTGTGTGTGTGTGTGTGTGTGTGTGTGTGTGTGTGTGAATTGTGGCTTCGAACTAAAGTATAGCTGTTGAACTTGGATTATTCACATATTCTCTGTCTTTGGACTAGCCTCAAGGAATCTACGGACTAAACAAGCAAACTCCCTAAGTGACCATGACTCTCAGAGACAGAAAACTGAAAAGAACTGAAGGATATAACTCGCGCATGGCTGTGGACGGGGTGTGGGAGTGGGGCTCTCAGCTTGAACAGAAGAAAAACAACGCATCACCAGTTGAAAATAATTAAACAGAAATTCACTAACCCCGTTTAGCAACTGAAAATTGCAGAAAGGTTCTACTGTACCTTGGTAGGCATGGGCTTCTTAAAGGTGATTTCAGCTTGCATCCAAACGCCCCTTGGAGACTCCAGCACAGACCAGATCTTGTCTTGAACCATGTGGTTCTCTTCAAAGATATAAACTGCTAGGGTGTCACTCATTTTTAAAAACCCATAGATGGCATAGTAAAAACGCAAACAATACTGCAAGTTTCCTGGCAGGGAGGGACCGTAGAGCCTTCCAATGTAGCCAGGCTGAGATGTAAACTTTGTGTTGGCCATCAAGAAATACCCTGCGAATAGGACAAAGCATTCAGTGCATCAGCAATGAAAAACCTAAATAATTCAGCCCAGATTATCAAGTGGGAAAATTTGGTTCAAGCAGTGGAGTTTGCCAACAGAGACTATTTCTACAGGCTTTAAATGATAGAAAGCATTTAAAATATCGAAGATATCTGTGTGATTCTATTGCTAATAAACCTCCTTTTTTTTTTTTTTGCGGTACGCGGGCCTCTCACTGTTGTGGCCTCTCCCGTCGCGGAGCACAGGCTCCGGACGCGCAGGCTCAGCGGCCATGGCTCACGGGCCCAGCCGCTCCGCGGCATGTGGGATCTTCCCAGACCAGGGCACGACCCGTGTCCCCTGCATCAGCAGGCGGACTCTCAACCACTGCACCACCAGGGAAGCCCAAACCTTCTCCATTTTTAAGTAAACCTGTACAGATTTCCCACTGCATATGTCCAGATTCTAGTCATCAATCAGGATTTATATTTCTTTTTTTTTTTGGCCGTGCCGTGGCTTGCAGGATCTTAGTTCCCCGACCAGAGATTGAACCCCAGCCCTCAGCAGTAAAAACATGGAACCCTAACCACTGGACCACCAGGGAATTCCTAGGATATACACTTTTCATGAAACAAAAAGGATGAAATCATCTTGGGGTTCCCCACTTTTTGGACAACCAACTGACAACTAGACTGAGTAGTACTGAGTCATAGAGAACACAAGGCCCAGAGCAGATTTTCCTTCTTACCCCTGCAATGACCAGTGGAGGGGGAGAGCTTACAGGGCCTGGCAGCCCTTGGGTGGTGATGGGTGGGGGGTGGTTTGTGTATCTGGGCAGAGCTTACTCTCTTGTTCATATGTTAAGCCTGCTCCTAAAAAGCATGTTCTTAATCAGATAGACCCTCTCAGGTGCTGAAGATCTGATCTTCCCCAATTTCTCCTAAATAACATGAAAAAATAAGATCAAGAACCTCCCCTCCCACATGCTCCACCAACCCCATGGTAAACTTAAAACAGTTTACCATGTTAAATTACGTGTCCTGTAAAGCTGGGGCAGAAAGAAAAAGAATAATACCTTACTCTTTTTCCTTTCCCTTTTTTGATCCTCCATCAGTTTTCTTTTGGGTGCCTCAGTCTTTGCTATACAGTTTAGTTTTATTTAATCCGGCAAAAGATTCTTTGGTTATTTCATGAGTGGTGTTATGGACTGAATTATGTCCCCCAAAATTCACATGTTAAAGCTCTAACCCCCAATGTGACTGTATTTGGAGACGGGGCCTTTAAGGAGGCAATTAAGGTTAAAGGAGGTTACAAGGGTGAAGCTTTAACTTCCATGTGACTGGTGTCATAAGAAGAAGAGACAGCAGAGATCTCTCTCTTTCTCTCTCTCTCTCCATGTGTACACACAAAGGAAAGGCCCTGTGAAGACACAATGAGAAGGCGCTTTGGAAAAGGCAGGAAGAGAGATCTCACCAGAAACCAACCCCAATGGTGCCTTGATTTGGGGACTTCCAGCCTCCAGAACTGTGAGAAAATAAATTTCTGTTTTTTAAGTCCCCCAGTCTATGGTATTTGTTATGGCAGCTCAAGCAGACTAACACAGGTGGCCAATACAAGAGCCAGAGCAATCTTTTTTTAAACCTAAATTTAATCCCTCTCTTCTCTACTTAGACTCTTTCAATGGCTTCTCATTTCCCTTGCAGTAAAATCCCAGTTGCTCACTCTGGCCTGCCACGCCCTAGATCTTCCTCTCTACCTTCATTTTCCTTCACCCTCCTCCCCACGGTGCAGCCACTCTAATCTTTTAATTCCTGGGAGTATCCAGTTCTTTCCAAACTCAAAGCCCTCACAGATGCTGATTCCTCTGCCTGGGCTGCTCCTGTTTCCACACATAAAAGCCACAAAGATAAACTCCCCACCCAAAATGTGGTTCCTTATTCTCTCTCAGAGGTCTCTCAGCACACTCCACAACTAGTAATCTTGAGTCTATTTGCGTGTATGTTTGTTTAGGGTTTCTCTTGCCGGTTGAAATGACGGTTAGCCAGCAAGGGTGGGATACATACCTGATTTGTTCACCATTGTATCCCCCAGGGGTTAGGCTGGCCAGGGTCAGAATAGGTTTTTATACTGTAATTCTACAAGTTAGCCAACCCCTAAGCAAAGAATACAAAATTACAAGTATGAAATTGCAAGGTCCCCGCAAAAGCGAGGGGCCCTGAAACAAGCTTCATCAGCTTTCTGGTAAGTCACCCCCGTGCCCAGTATTTAAATAATTGTTGAATAAATGAATTAGACACTAACCCCTTGAGAATAAGCTCTTCCCACCAGTCTCTACTGGAGTGGGCTTCACAAGGGCTCCCTTTAACGAGATAGGTAATCCTTACATAAGGGGCGCTCAGATTGATTTCTAATAGCTCCTTGTAGGTCCATCCAAAATTTCCCAACAGCTGTGATAGCTTTCATGCCCCACTATATATTATTTATAGCAATAAAACACACATGACATAAAATTTACCATTTTAACCATTTAAAGCGTACAATTCAATGGCATTTAGTACTTTCACAATGCTGCACAGCCACCACTAACTACTTCCAGAATATTTTCATCACCTCAAAGGGAAACGCTATACCCACTAAACAGTCACTTCCCATCCCCCTCCCCAGCTCCTGGCAACCACTGATCTGCTTTCTGTTTCTATGGCTTTGCCTCTTCTGGATGTTTCATATAATTGGAATCTAATAGCTTTTTGCAGGTACTTCTCCATCTAAAGTGAAGAGCAAGATAATTTCCAAAGGTTTGACTATTTAATTAACTGGCAAATACTCCTTCTAGCACAGCAGCTTGAATTCCGGTTTTGAAAAATGGCCACAGACACAAGGTTACCTATTGTCTTTGCTTCTTCACAGCTGCTCCCACACCCACCTCCCTTTTTCAAGCTGGTGTCCTGGTGAGAACGGCTGGCGAATGGAGATGAATACTACCCGCTCCCAACCCCCAACATGACATCCCACACAACAGACTCTGATTTACCTAAGCCTGAAGTGTGGTCTCCCGCCCGATACATGTTTGGTTTTACTTTCACTCGGGTCCAGCCTGGACCTTCTTTGTCTTGGTAAAAGTTGCAGAGATCTTCCTCAAAGTTGCAGCTTGCTTCTACGGCACTAAAAGGACGCTCTGAGCAAAGGAGAATCAAAGTTAAAGTGAGCCAAACCCAAGGATCTCAAAGGACTACATTAACTGATTGACAAATATGTACACATTTGTACCAGGGAAGCTCAGAGCAGTAACACACAACAAAAATATTTTTACCCTAGTGGCATGCTGACAGGTTAGCATCAAATCCACATTTCAGCATGACAGTAAAATTGTTCTTTTCCTCCCTAAAGGGATGGAAAGAAGGAGCTCTGTTCACATTCTCTACAAACATGAAGCACCAGACTTCAAAAAAATTTCCTTTCTTGATGTAAAGACTGAAAGCATTTATTCACATACTTCTTCAAAATTTAAAATTCATTCATACAAAATTAAAAAGAAAAAGTAAGGATTTTATAGAATTCTTAATTTCTTTCTGACAGATATTTTAGAAATAATATTTTCTAGAAATAATTTTCCTTTGTTGATCAATCTCTGTGTCAGAAGCACAGCCACTGTCTATTTATAATTGACATTAGTAGTAAGAGCTGATCTGCTGGAAGAGAATCATTACTCAGTATAAATCACACTGCTCAAACAGTCACACCAATTCTGTCACCCGTTCTGCTATTATTTTGGCTTTTGCTGAGTTCTGGTGTCACTTACTCTGGTCTATAAACATCACCTCATCCCAGATTGCCTGGAGGAAAGGGAACATAAAAGATTTCTGCTCTTTCAAGAATGATGTGGTCCTAGCAACAAGTAACCGTAAACCTCACTGTTCAGATTGCCCTCTGTGTCCAGAGAAGATGTGACTGCAGCTCTTTGGGACACATTCAGTGCAGCCAAGTGTAATCTTGTTCTGCACACTGACATACACTGGTCTAACCTTTTAGTGCCAGAGACAGAACTGTTTTGAATAAGCGGAAAATCACCTCTAGAGAAACACTTGAGTTCTAGGTGCGGAGATCTGATGAAACAGAAAGCTGTTTAGGGACAGAGACTCAATTTGTCAATTTTCAAAGTAAGAAAACATTCCAGTGGGCTGAGGAGCTTGCCCGGATAAAAAGGATGAGAGACACATGACAACCAAATGCTACAAGGGGTCCAAGATTCCATCTTGGTCCAGAAAAACAAATACCTATAGAAGATTTTATTGGCGCAATTGGTGAAATTAGTATATGGACTATAGGTTAATTGTTAATATTGTATCAGTGTTAAGTTTCCTGAACTTTATAATTATTCCATAGCATGCTGGAGGATGTCTTTGGTTTTAGAAAATACCCACTGACGTATTTAGTGGTGAAGGGACATAATATCTGCAACCTACCCTTTTTTTCTTTTTTTTTTTTTGCGCTATGTGGGCCTCTCACTGCTGTGGCCTCTCCCGCTGTGGAGCACAGGCTCCGGACGTGCATGCTCAGCGGCCATGGCTCACGGGCCCAGCCGCTCCGCGGCATGTGGGATCCTCCCGGACCGGGGCACGAACCTGTGTCCCCTGTATTGGCGGGCGGACTCTCAACCACTGCACCACCAGGGAAGCCCTGCAACCTACTCTTAAATGGTTGATAAAACAAACGTGGCAAAATGTTACACGTTTGTAGGTCTGGGTAAAGAGTATACGGGAGGTCTTTAACATACTCTTGCAAATTTTGTCTGAGTTTAAAATGATACTGAAGAGTTTTAAAATGCTAAATTAAAAAGAAAAGTGACTAGCACCACATTACAAAGAGGGAACAGAAAGAAAATGCTCCTATAGCAAGTGTACCAGGAGAGGCCTCTGATGAGCCAGATAGGAAAGGAAGAGAATTCTCAGTGCTCTGAGACTGGTGGGTTAACCCACACACTGCTCTGTCTGACTCTGTCGGCATCAAGGTGACTCTTTAAGCTGCGAAGATAAAGTCATGAAGATATTCATTTGAAAATGAATATGATGTCATACAAACAAGGATCCTTTGACATTCCCCCATGGAGATCTGAGCCCATGGGAAACCCCACTATGGTCTCCAGTCTTGGTCACCCCTCTGCCACCTGGTAATGAAAAAGCAGATGGAAATTCAGATCTACAGATGGCCATCTAGCTCAGAAAATGGTGTGGCACTCCCAAAAGCCATGCATAAAGAGAACGGAAGGTCAGTGAAATTATTCATCAGGAATACATCCTAAGGAATATACACCTGGGCATCCACAAGAGAACCATAACCCATTTCCTAGGTGTGTGGGAGGGGGTGAGAGGTGGTATTAAAACTTGAAAGTAAGCAAGGCTCTGTTGTCTCCATAGTGACAAGCTGAGTCACACAGAGAAGATTTTTCTGAGGATGGAATTATATTATTTTGCTAAACACTTAGTCTGAGCAATGGATTTTTCTGGGGTCCTAAGAAGGTCTGATAAAAAGAAAACCTCAAAAGCATAACTCAAAGCCTAAACCTTTTTCACCCAGAATGCTTCTTCTAGTGTGAGATAGTATCTAATTACTGAAGATGAGGCCAGAGGGCCTATGTGTGACCTAAAATGAGCTCCCCAAAGATCTGGGGTGAATAAAGAGCCTTTGCTTCAAGCTCGTTTCAGAAGCATGAGTCAAGTGGCAATCACAATTGTATTTGGGGAGTGTTAATGACATATTTGAAGCATAGGGAGGAATCAGAGGCAATTGGAAGTCCCTGAGCATCAGCTGATCATCCCCGCCCCACCCAAAAAAAGAAATAAAGTCTCTCTGAGCATCATAATGTACGATTTAGTTAATTACTTGATTTCTGACATTTGAACTTTTTAGAATCAGGAGGCTCTGAAGGTAAACTAATCAGGTAGAGGGTGTTGCAGTTTGAGAAGAATGGTTAGGAGTATTTCTCATCTTTTCCCCTGCTTCATAGAGTTCATGGAGATGAACTCAGTATCAGTCCTCGAGATCTAAGAGGCTTATCAGCCCCTGTAGTGCTAGAGAGACTTTGGGCGTGGTGCTCTTTAGGCTGCTAAACTTGCACAGTAGTTCTTATTTTAGCACAAGCCAGTCCCAAAGCAAACTGGGACAGCTCAAGGCTGGCGAGGGAAGAGAGTGAGTGGGAACTACCACCAGACTGAGGAATCATGATGGAGCAGACTGGGCCACAGATCAGGCTGTGGAGATCTTTGAGGGCCTCTGAGCTAAGGAAGACTGTGACACCTTCGGCTGTAACCTACACAACAACTGGAGCCTGGTTTCCAATTAGACGAGAGGTCTGGGCAGTGTGTTGTTGATGAATGGTCAATATTGGGACTTAGGCCCAGGTAGACATCCTTTCAGATGTATATCCATGAGTGTCAGGATCCTCCCAGACCCTGGCCTGGGTGTGGGGCGAACCCAAGCCTAGAGAAGAAGTTAGGTCTGCATATGGCACAGCCTGGAGCGCTCAGTTTGGGAGTTGGGCATTAAGGCAGGATTCCTGGAAGTGAACGGAATCAGTTGTTAGGCATTCAAGGACTTACAGACTAAGAGGAGAGCTTATTCCTATGATCACTAGATTCTAGGCCAAATGTGGCGGTAAATGGAGAGTTTGTGGGTGGAAAAGGCTTGGAAAGGGAAGTGTGGTAACTCAAGTTGGGGGGGATGCGGTGAGGTCTCACTGTCCTCTGGAAGCATCCTGGGGGACTATTTGCGGGGGGGGGGGGGCGAGCTGGGGGGGGGC